CCGCGTGGGCCTCCGCGACCCCGCCCTGCGCCTGCTGCAGCACGCCGCGAAGTCCCTGGAGCTGGGCGCCAGCTGGTGAAGGTCGGCTGGCGCCGTCGCAGGCTGCCGCGGGCGCGCCAGGGCCTGACGGGCCTGCTCCACGGCGAGCTCCAGCTGACCGATCTTCGCCGCGACCACGTCACGATTCTGCTTAGTGGCCGCCAGCTTCGCCTCCTGGTCGTCCACCGCCTTGGAGAGCTTGGCGAGCTCTCCTCCTTGGCGTGGAGCCTGTCGAGGCCGCCCCGCAGCACGTCCTCTGGGCGCTGTGAGGCACGCACCAGGGCCTCCGCCTTCGCGAGCTCCATCTTAGCAAGCTTCACGATCGGGGCGTCCGCGGCGTATCGGAGCCTGCGCAGGGAGGCCAGCGCCCGCCTGCAGCGTGCGAGCTCATCCGCTCATGCAGCTGCATCGGGTGCGCCCCCCGTGCCTCCATCACTGCCGCGGGAAGCTCCACGGGACCGAGGGCGAGATGGAGGCCGAGCGCCACCATGCCGAGCAGGAGCACCCCCCACCATGCGGCCCTGGCGGTCCCTGCCGCAGCGGTAGCACGTGCTGCGGTCCACGAAGTTGGTGGCGAAGCCGCACTGGCGAGTGGCGACGCACGCCCAGGTGGGCCGCGACGTGCCCCCGCCGCTGCCGCCCTGGGAACTCTCGCCGCTGCTGCCCCGCCCGAGCCCGTGCCCGCGGAGCGAGGGGGCTTGGCGCCGCTCTGCCACGGGGCGCCACGGCTGCCATGGCCTCGCCGTGATGGCCTGCTAGTGCCGCGGTCGCCCGCTGGCGCTGGAGCACTGCGCGCGCCCAACGCGGACCCTGCGCCTGCGGCGGTGCCACGCGGGCGATCTGGATCGGAGAATGGAAAAAACTGGGCACCGACGCCGCGCTGAACGGGCCGTCGGCTGGGGGCTCTGGAGAAAGGGGCCGACCCCTTCGGCCTCGCCAAAACCTCCTGGGCCACCTAGGAAACGGAGGAGGAGGATCAGCAGGAGCAGCAGCAGGGGGAGGAGGAGGAGGAGGAGGAGGAGGAGGAGGAGAGGAGGAGAGGAGGAGGAGGAGGAGGAGGAGGAGATCGGGAACTTTCGGAGGGCCGCGCGGAGTTTCTGGATTTGTGCTGACCCCGCCGTGTGGCGCCTCTGGCGCCGCCCCATCGCGCGCGCCTCGCGGCGCCGGGGAAACGGGGGGCCCGGTGCCGGCCGGTGGACCTCCGAAATCCGAGGTCTGAGCTGATTATTCCTCTTGGGAACGCCGCGACTCCCGTCTCAGCTTCCCCTCCTCCTCCCCCTCCTCCTCCTCCTCCTCCTCCTCCTCCTATTCCTCCGCCTCCGCCTCTTCCTCCTTCCCCTCCTCCTCTCCTCCTCCTCCTCCCTCCTCCTCCTCCTCCTCCTCCTCCTCCTCGTCTCGTCCTCCTCCCTCCTCCTCCTCCTCCTCCTCCTCCTCCTCCTCCTCCTCCTCCTCCTCCCCCTCCTCCTCCTCCTCCTCCTCCTCCTCCTCCTCCTCCTCCTCCTCCTCCTCCTCTTTCCCCATCGTCCTTCATGGTGTCGGCGGCGCACCGCTCACGTTTCCCGCCACTTGCGGAGTTTCACCTGCGGCCTCAGTGAGCCCCGCCCATGTCGGCACATCCATCCGGCGGGTCGTGCCCCCATTGGGAGTGCCACCTGCTTACGGCCCAAAGAGGGCGTACAATGGAGACCCATGCCAACAAACACCCTGCTTGCCTTCAGGGTGCCCTGGCCTGTTTGGGTTTCGATGGTTTTGCGATGGAGAGCGCGACGCTCCCACGCCAAAGATCCAAGGACGTGCTGGGGTCTCAGGGTTGGGTTTCTTGTGGAAGGTTTCATGTGGACTGGCCTCCACTGTATCCATAGCGCTTCCCAGCACATTTCGGCACACTCTTCACGCAGACTGTGCCCCCCAAGGGAGCTCCACCTGAGGCGCCAGCGAGGGCGTTCGCACAGCCGCCCCCCTGCACATTTCGGCACTCCCCTCACGCGGATCGAGCCTCCACAGGGAGAGCTCCAGTTGCCGCTTCCCAGGAGGGGGAGTTCGCACGTGTCCCCGCACCCCGCCCTGTCCACATCGGCACACCCCTCAGACACATCATGCCCCACAGGGAGCGTCACTCATGGGCCCCCTGGAAGGATGTTTCGCATGCGCTCCCGCCCAGTTCGGCACACCCCTCACGCGGACCGTGCTCCACACTGGGAACTCCACCTGCAGCCCCAGCGGGAGCGTTTGCATGCTTCCCTCCCGCCCGTTTCGGCACACCGCTCACTCGGAGCCTGCCCCACAGGGAGGTCAGCACGTCCCTGCGCGGCTGCGGCTGCTCCGCAGCCGCAGCGGTTGGGTCACTCTTGGGGCGACCCTGGGCGCTGGATCCCCCTCCCCACCCTACCCTTCTTTGGACAGGCGGGGGGTGGGCGGAGGGCAATCCCTCTCTTCCCGTGGCTGTGGAAGAGCGGAGGTCCGGATAAGGCGCATGATGGTGTGTGGGGGGGGGGATTCGCGCTGGGGTGTTCGAGTTGGGGTGGCAGGAGAAAGGTGGTAGGTGGTAGGGTTGAAGTTTTAGGGTTCGGGTCAGGGCTTGCGTTTGGGATTCAGGTGTTAGGGTGAAGGTTAGCTTGGGTGGCCGGCATAGGGTGGGAAGGGTAGGGTATGAGGGTTAGGGTGGTAGGGTCGGAATCTTCGGGCAGGATTCGCAAACATGGTTAGCGTGTTAGTTTTAGGGTGTTATGGGGTCAGGAGCTCAGGGTCAAGGTGTTTGGGTTAGGGTTCGGGTGGTAGGCTTAGGGTGTTCGGGTTAGTATGATAGGGCCAGGTTTCGTGCAGAAGGTTGCGTTATTATGTTTAGGGTGCTAGGGTTAGGGTGTTAGGGTTCGGGTGTCAAGTTTAGGGTTAAGATGTCAGGGTTAGTGATTAGGCTTCGTGTGATAGGATCAGGGTTAGTGTGCTAGGGTTGGGGCAGGCGGGAGGGTAGGTAATTAGGAACATGATGGTCGGCTTAGGGTCTGGATCTTAGGGTCAGGAGGTTATGCACGCGTGTTAGGGTTCGGGTGCCAGCGTTAGGGTGATAGGGTTGGGATTATCGGGTTAGTGTGGTAGGGTTAGGGTGTTAGGGTGAGTACTACGGTGCCACGCTTAGGACTCATGCTGTGGGTTTAGGGTGCCAGGGTGAGGGTGATAGGGTCTGGATGTTCGGGATAGGGTGGTAGGGTTAGGGTGTTAGGGTTAGGGTGTCAGGGCTAGGGTTCGTAGTTAGGGTGTTAGGGTTAGTTTGCTAGGTTTCAGGTTGGGGTGGTAGGAGTAGCTTGTTAGGGTCATGATGGTAGGGTGCTAGGATTTGGGTTAGTCCTTCTGGTTACTGTGTCAGGGTTAGGAGGGGGTGGGGGGATGGGATGAAACTCCCTGCCCCACAGGGAGACGGCGGGTGGGGGTTCAACCCCCACACCTCTTTGGAAGTGGGGGAGAGGGGGGGAGGTTCTGGGACAATGGATCGAGAAAGAGGGGAGGGTGTTGGTACGGCGGACAAAGGAAGGGTAGGAAAGGAGGGGGGGTGAGGGGCGGGGGGCCTATGGGGCAGCAAGTGGCCCACCCTCACAAAGAACGACATATTCAAAATTACGCAATCATGCACACCGAGCAGCTGCGTGTCCAGCCTTTTCACCACTGCTTCTTCGATGCAGACACCGGTTTCTCCCAAATCGTGTGCCAAGGGTGGGCCCAGCTTTTCCTGAGACACCATTGTCGTATTCGGACGACGGGAGTATGACACGCAGCGATGGCACTGTCACCGAGTGCCAGAATTGTCGTTGGGTTGGAGATTGGGGTGCAAAGCATGAATGCTGGCTTCCAAATGGCCGGGGACATTCTGGTCTGGTATTTCATGCCCGTCGTCTGCCGATGTTACCATTGAGTGCGGCGCGGTGCTTTCATCGACCTTGATACATCCCCAGGTCGAGAGTTTTTCTTCTTGGGCCCAGAACGACGGTTTGAAGTCTTGAACAGACGCGCATCAGACAACCACCGTGGGCTCCAATGAAGTTCGCGCGTATCCAATGTTGGTCTTGGTTGATGTTTCGGTTGATCAATTTTCCGTCCGCGCGGATCCGATTTCGGATTTTCTAGATCGCGTCTGGTCCTCGTTTTTTTTTACGGTGGATCAGATTTCCACCCCGTTTTAAGTTTGCATGTTTTAATTTAAGCGGTGAGCCCGAAGAAATCGCATCCGCGGACACCAGAACCCGCCCGTGTTAAGATTCTATGGGGGAGAGGGGTTCGGTCATCAATTTCCCAACATGGGCCCCGCGCTGTCTCGCGTACTCCCATCAACTTTCTGCGAACGCGGGCCCCACTCAACATGAACACGTCTCTCTTCTCCCGGTTGCTGCACGCAGCTCGTCCAGACGCCGTCTGTTCGGCGGCGCCGATGTTATCTCGCGAACTCCTCACCGCCACTTTCACCTCATGAGGAACATCTTTCGTCCTGCGCAAGCATAATCGCCGAATATGGAGTTGACCCTTGTCCCAAGCACTCTCCCTTGATGCACGAGTGGTTCTATTGATCCAACATCCTTAGTGAGCTGCTGGCGGCGGAGTCTCTAACTTCGCCAGGAACGGCGCGAATTGCTTGCAGCGAACATGGTTGTCTACAGTCGGCCAGCATTGAGGTACACAATCGACCAGCACTACGGGCGCATGGGCTTCTCTACAGTCTCTACGCTCTTAACGCGTGCTCGTCTCAATCCGCGCCCGCCTGGCGGTTTTTTGCTTCTGCTGCGCTTCTCCCCCTCTCCCTCCCCATCCCCCACCGTGTCCGTAGCCGTTTTGGCTCGCGCCCTTCTGGCACCACGGGCGCCGTGCACGCCTCGAGCCTGCCTCCCTCGGCGCCGCGCAGCCTGGGGCGCGGCCCGGGCCTCGCCCCCCTCTTCCCGGGGCGCCGCCGGCGCTCCTCGCGGGCGCCTCGCGGCATGGCGGCGCCTGCCGGGGCCTCGCTCGACGAGGTGGTGTTGGATCCCAACGCGCCGGCCGCAGCGGGCTCCAAGTCGGAGCCCGCGGCCGTCGCCGCGTCGGGCCGCTGCTGCTGCAGGCGCCCACGGTGCCTCTGCGTCGGCGCGTGCTGCGGCTGCTGCTGCGTCGTGCCGCTGGTGGTGATCGGGGCCATCGCGGCTTCGGTCGCCGACGAGTACTGCGGTCTGGGCCCCCTCCAGAGCATGCTGAGGCGGGCTCCTCTCACCGAAGAGGAGATCCACAATGGCAGCTCTGGCGACTCGGTCTGCAGTCGCTCCCAGTTCCTCGGGGCGAGGCCGAGCAGCTGTGCTGCGAGGGCGTGGATTTCACAGGAGTTTATCGATCACTTGGCCGACGAGGCGCAAGACATCGTCAACCAGGAGTTCGCCACCATGGCCAACGAGATGATCAACTCCGCTGGATACGAGGAGGTCGATGGAAGTGCCTCGGGCGTGCAGTGGGCCATCTCCGACGCATCAGTGGACCACGTGAGCGTCGGACACGTGAGCTTCGCCTTCGCGGCGGGCCGCGGCTTGGTCATGACGATGGAGCAGCTGCGCATGACCGCCTCCTTCAGCTTCGACGGCAAGCACTCCAATGGAATCTCCGACAGCGGCCGGATCGCGCTGGCCTTGAATTCCGGCACTTCGGCGTCGGGCATCATCGACGTCAGTGTCACAGAGGGTGGCAAGCCCCTGCTGACGCTCCAGCCCGGCGCCCTCTCAGTCAACATCGACACCGACGTGACTTTCGACGGCTCTTGGATCGGTTCCATCCTGCAGGTGTTCACCGACCCAGTCAAGCCTTGTGCCGACGAATCCTTGGAGGCCGCCGTCACGACCTTGGCCCACGACTTTGTTGCGGTGACGCTTGCGAGGTCGGTGGCGGAATCCGAACCCTGCCCGCGTCGATCCACAAGTCAGACAATTCGATGGGCGGCGGGGGCAGACTTCGGAATTCGCCGAACACGTGGCAAAATTCGAACCCTGCCCCCGCCTCCCATCGATTCAGGATAATGGATCGTCGGCGGGGGTACAGTCGGGCCGCTGAATAAGGAACCCTCTTCGTTTGGGAGGGGCTCAGTGTTCCTTACTTGTTTGATAGTTTGTCTTGGGTGAGCCTTAGGCTTCCTATGGGAAGTGAGGGGTTATCTCAAATGAAAACGTGGCCTCGTTCCTTATTCAGGGTTCCTTACGACATCGTTTCGACTGTGTGCAGGGGACTCCATCGTTGGTGGGGGTAGGGTTCGGATGTCGCCACCCACAAGGGTCATCGCCCAAAGGTCGTTCCTGTTGGGCCTGCCCCTCCCAGAGCTGCCGCCCTACGTCGGCGGCCACGGCGAGCCGCAGGACTGCTGGGCCTTCGACTACTCCCTCTGCGCCATCGACACCTTCTCGAACCACATGGGCGACGAAAAAAACACGGGTCGAGCTGCGCCGACATCAGCGCGCAAGCTTCCCGCGCAAGGTCGCACGTGAGCGCCCTCGTCTTCCGTGCAGCGTGCCCCGCGGCGGCCCCGCCTGAGCCACCGCGCGGGGTCGCTGCGCCATCTTGCGTGAGACTCGTTTTTGATCGTCGCTCACATGAGCGACGAGCAAAAAACGGGGTCGTCTGCGCCAACATTGGGCGCGCAAGCTCCCCGCGTAAGGTCGCGCGTAAGCGCCCTCGTCTTGAATGTAGCGTGCAGCGCGGGCGGCCCGCGTAAGCCACCGCGCGAGGTCGCTGTGTCACCTCGCGTGAGACCCGTTTTTGATCGTCGCTCACATGGAGGTCCACGTGCGGGCTGCGTTGGTCGACGTGGCCGACCCTGCGCTCATCTACCACAGCTCGCCGCAGGCCCTGCCACAGGTCCAGGAGGAGAGGGTCGGGACGTCGATGACGTCCCTGGCAATGAGCGAGTGGGTCGTAGCCAGCAGCACCTGGCTGATGTGGAAGCGCGGCATACTCAGCTTGGACATGGACCTCGCCGAGCAGCTTCCCGCACTGCACGACTCCTTGCGCTCCGTTTTCCCCGAGACCCGTTTGAGATTGAAGCTCGATGTCGGGGAGGAGCCCACATTCGTCTTCCAGGATCAGGCTGTTTCCTTCGAGGCCCGGGACGTCAGGTTGCAGATCGTCAACGACGCGGTTTGCCAGTCGTTCGACGGTATTCCCTGCGTCTTCCCGTTCGAGTACGGTGGCAGCACTTACAGCGGTTGCACGGCCGCCAACTGGATAACCCCTTGGTGCGCCACTGCTGTCTCGGGCTCCGGGAGCATGAGCGACTGGGGACACTGCTCGACGACGTGTGTCGGCTCGCTCGTCGACCTCGGGACCGACGCTGGCCTCAGAATCGAACCGAAGATCGAGAACCAGACCTTCGGCGTGAGCCTCGCGAACTTTTACGTGGGCTACCTGTCCGTGGACTCCAGCTGCAACACCCTGTTCAGCGAACCCTGTGTATTCCCCTTTACCTACAACTTCCAGACGTACACCGAGTGCACGACGGCTGGCACTGGCTGGCCGGGCTACAGCTGGTGCGCCACCGAGGTCGACTGGCTCGGGGTCGTGTCGAGCGGAAGGTGGGGGGTCTGCAGTCCGGTGTGCTCGGGCTTCAGGGCCCTCATCATGGACCCCATCAACCAGCAGGTCGACGCCCTCCTGAGCCAGAGCATGGGCCCCAGCGTGCCGCTCAACCGGGAGCTCCCGGGCCTTCCGCAGCTGCTGAACACGAGCCTCTCGGTGGACGCCGCCTCCTTCATGGTGTGGACGGACGTGCACCTGCGGCTGGAGGACGTCCTCCTCGCCGGCTGAGGCCTCGGCCGACGGGGGCCCTGGCCAGACGTCGGCGTCACCCCGGCATGCTGGCATGGTGTCTGCGTCCCCCCCCCCCAGGGGCGACGCGCCGCGCGCACGGAGAGATGCTTGTCCCAACCATCCTGTGGTGTTGGGTCCTCGCTTTGGAGAAAGGGTCCCCGCGTCTCCTCCTCCCGTGCCCCCCCCACCCCCAGTGGGGGTGGCTACATGCGGCCCCATAGGGAGCTCCACGCAAGGCCACAGTGGTGGTGGCCACATGCGTCCGCCACACCCACCCAGTACAGCGCTTCGTGGCCCCATAGGGAGCTCCCTGCGGCCCCAGTGGGGGTGACCACATGCGTCAGCCACACCCAGGGCAGCGTTTCGTGGCCCATAGGGAGCCCCACCGTAGGCCCCAGCGGCACAGCCCGCATGCGTCTCCCCCACCCATTACGGCACGTCCCTCATGCTTTTCGTGGCCCCATGGGGAGCTCTACCGAAAGCGGCACCCACAACGCGCTACTCACAACTGCATATGGTAGGGTCCTTCGCCAGGATACTTAATATATAATATATGCGTTCCGTTTGGCTCTCGGCGCCACTTTGGTTTTTCGGCGCCCTTTTGGTTTTCGGCGTTTCTTGTGGTTTCCGGCGCCCCTTGGGTGTTCGGCGCCCCTTTGGTTTTCGGCGCCCTCTTGGTTTACGGTCTCCTTTGGCTTTCGGTGTCCTTGAGGTTTTCGATGTCCTTTTGGTTTCCGGCGCATGTCTTGTTTTCGGCGCAGCTTTCTGCGTGTGGTGCTTTGTTGGTTCTCTTCCTCCTTTTGGTTTTTTGCGCCCCCTTGGTTTTCGGCGCCCTTTCGGTTTTAGGCGCTCCTTTGGTTCTCGGCGCACTTGTGATTTTCGGCGCCCCTTTGGTGTTCGACGCTCTCTTGGTTTTTCGGCCCCCTTTTGGTATTCGGTGCCCTTTCGGTTTTCGGAGCTCCTTTGGTTTTCGGCAGTGTTTTGGTTTTCGGTGCCCTTTTGGTGTTTGGTCACTCGTTGGTTACCGGCTCTTTTTTGGTTCTTGGCGCCAATTTGGCAATTTGGTTTCCGGGGTCCTTTTCAAGTTCGGCGACCCTTTGTTTTTTGGCGTTCTTTTGGTTTTCGGTGACTTTTTGTTTTCGGCGCCCTTTTAGTGCTCAGCGCTGCTTTGGTTTTCGTCGCTGGCATGGTTTTCGGCGTCTCTTTTGTTGTCGGTGCGCCGTTGGTTCTCGGAGCCTTTTTTTGTTTTCGGCGCCTCTTCGTTTTTTTCGGCGTTCGTTAGGTGTTCGGCGCCTTTTGGTTTTCGGCGCCCCTTTGCTTTTCGGCCCTCGTATGGTTTTCGGCGCTCCTTTGGTTTTCGGCCCTTGTTTTCGGCACTCCTTTGGGTTTCGGTGCTCCTTTTTTGTGGTTTTCGGCGCATCTTTGACTTTCGCCGCCGTTTGCGTTTTCGGTGCCCTTTCGGTTTTCGGCGCTTTTTTGGTTTTCGCACCCTTTCTGTTTTGGGTGGCTCTTTGGTTTTCGGCGCTCTGTTGGTTTTCGGCGCTCTTTTGGTCTTCGGCGCTCCTTCCTTGAGCCAAAAGGGGGGGGGCTTCCAAGCTCCCTCTCCCTTTACCTCTGTTAGCCCAAAATGGAGGGGTGGGGGGGCTTCCGGCAGGGGGGGTTCAAAGGGGGGGGAGCTAAGCCCTCCCCCCCTGGGAAAGGGAGGGGGGGCGGGGGTAGTTTCCGGAGCGCGAAGGGGGGGAAGGGAGTAACTTCCGAGGGGCGGATTTCAAAGGAGGGCGGGGTGGCTTCCGGCATGGCAGGTTCAAATGGGGGGGGGGGAGCCAAGCCGCCCCCACCCCGTTTGGGAAGGGAGGGGGGGTAGCTTCCGAAGGGCGAAAGGGAGGGGAGGGGGGAGCTTCCGAGGGATGGGGGAGCTTCCGAGGGGTGGAGGGCTTCCTGCATGGGAGGTTCAGAGGGAAAGTGGGGGGGGCGTCCAGTAGGGCAGGTCCCACGGGGGCGGGTAACTAAGAGGGGGCCCCCCTCTTTGGGAGTGTGCTACGGGTGCGCTCTTTCTCGTATGTTTATGTATGTCTGCATGTATGTGTGTACGCATGTATGTTTGCATGCATGCGTGCATGCGTGCATGTATGTATGTATGTATGAATGCATGCAGGCATGCATGTATGTAGTGTGTACGTATGTAGGTGTATGCGTTTGTGTGTAAATATGTATGTATGTATGTATGTATGTATGTATGTATGTGTGTATGTATGTATGTATGTATGTATGTATTAATGTAATGTAATGTAATGTAATGTAATGTAATGTAATGTAATGTAATGTAATGTAATGTAATGTAATGTAATGTTATGTATGTATGTATGTATGTATGTATGTATGTATGCACGGTTGTACCTATGTGTGCACGCATGTATGGGTGTATACATGTATGTATGTATGATTGCATCTATGTGTGTATGTAGTTGTGTGCATGTATGTATGCATGTGTATGTATGTACGTTTGTATGCCTATATGTATGTATGCAGGCATGCATGTATGCATGCATGCTTGCATGTGTGTATACATAGATGAGTGTACGTAAATTTGTATGCACGTGTGAATGACTGTATGCATGCATGCGTGTATGTATGTGTATGGTGTCATGTACGTATGTTCACATGCATGCATGCATGCACGCATGCCCACATTGACGTATGTATGATTGTGCGTATGCATGAGTGCATGTGTGTATGCAGGTATGCATGTGTGCATGCTTGTATATGTGTGTATATGTATGTATGCACGTATGTATGCATGTATGTATGTATGCATGCATGTGTGGGTGTATGCATGTTATGTATGTATGATTGCATGCATGTGTGTGTTGTATGTGTGTACAGGTATGCATGCATGTGTGTATGTATGTGTTGTGCCTATATGTCTGTATGTATGCATAATGCATGCACACATGCCTGCATGTGTATATATTAGTGATTGTTTGTGTGTATATATGTGTACGCAAGCTTGTATGAATGTCGCATGCATGTGTGTATGTATGTGTATGGTTTCATTTACGTATGTATGCATGCATGCACGCCTGCACACATTGACGTATGTACGATTGTGTGTGTGTGTATGAGTGCATGTGTGTATGCAGGTATGTATGTTTGCATGCATGTATGTATGAGTGTATATATATATATATATATATATGCATGCATGTATGTATGTATGTGTGTATGTATGCATGCATATATGTACGTAATTATGTTTGTATGTATGTATGCATGTATGTATGTATGTATGTACGTATGTTTGTGGGAATTTATACCCCCAGCGCAGCATGTAGAGAGGCAGAGTAGAGGGAAGTTGAACTGCAGCCATTTCAGATTTCATTTAGAGCCCTATGAAAAGGCATCAGATGGTATACATTCCTTTCATGGTAGCGTGAGCTAGGCTTGTCCACTCGTGTTCTCGATCTCGACTTCGATATCGATCCAAGGAGGAGCATCCACTAAGTAAACGTGGCTCTGCAATTGCGAATGGCGTCCCAGGAGCAAATTCAGCAGTTGATCGATGGATTACAGCAGAAAGATCAGCAGATCAATCAATTGATGCAGCAGCTGCAAACTCAGAATGCGAACATGCAACAGATGCAGCAGACCCATGATCAAAACATGCAGAGGATGCAGCAGCAACATCAAGCAACAGTGCAGGCAATGCAAAGCACCCTGCAACAGACAGTTGAGAGTGTAGCATTATCTTCGCGCAGCGTGAAATCATTAGTTGACAACAAAGGAATAGGTAAGCCAAACAATTTCGATAGCGACATGAAGAAATGGTCGAATTTCAGTTTCAAGTTTAAGAACTTTGTGTCTTCTGTTTTCCGAACCGCCCGTGCTTTGATGGATTGGGCTGAAGAGCAGCAGAATGTAATCTCGAGTGCAATGGTTCAAAATCTTGTTGCGCAGTTTCCTGACGCAGTCGATTTCTCAACCCAGTTGTACACCACCCTTGCACAGATGACGGACGGCGAAGCGTGCGACATCGTCAAAAACACATTAGCTGACCACGGTCTGGAAGCTTGGCGGAAGTTGTGTCGCCGTTTCGACCCGCACACCGGTCAACGCAAGCGCGCCCTAATGAGTTCGATTCTGCAGCCCGGCCAGTTTAAGATCCAGGATTTGTCTTCTAGCATTGAGCAGTGGGAAGAGAAACTACGCACCTACGAAAACAGGACCCAAAAGAAACTAGATGACGACATCAAGTCCGGAATTTTAGTCACCATGTGCCCCGAAGGTCTTCAAAACCATTTGAACCTAAACCAGTCGAAGTTTGATGATTATTTGGATGTGCGTGAAGAAATCATGTCGTACTTGGAGACAAAACATGTCAACGCTGACACCCGAGGCACTCCCATGGATCTCGGCTATGTCGGCAAGGACGGCAAAACTGGAGGCAAAGGTTGTTCCATCTGTGGCAAAACAAATCACAAGGCTCATGAATGTTATTGGCGCGACTCCAAAGGTAAGGGAACCGGTAAAGGTAAGACCGGCACTCCCGGTGGGAGATACGGCGGAAAAGGTGGAAGAAACGGAAGCAACGGTTGGAACTCACAGGGAGGCTCTGCAGGGCAACCTCCGCAGCATTCAGACAAGGGCTCAGGGAAGAAATCCAGCAGCAAAGGTGACAAATCCAACAGCTGGAGCTCGAAAGGGAAAGGTTTTGGATCTTATCCCCCATGTAAGTTTTGCGGAAAAACGAATCACCCGGAGTCCAAATGTTTCCAGAGGAAAGGTTTCAATGAGTTCGACGTTGCACAGAATCCCAATGGCGACAGTCAAGGGTTTCAAACATTCATGCACGACATGTTTAACCGTTGGCAGTCGCAGCAGTCGCAAACATGGAGTGGGTCGCAACAGGCTTTGCCAAGGCAGGGCCCCATCATCTACGATGCAAGCGGTCAGCCCCTTGGTGGTTTCGAGTTGTCTGGAGTCGAAGCTGGTACCTTGAATCCTTTGGTCCCCGAGGGCCCCAAATGGTGGACGGAAGTAGGTGGTCGGAGGCAGCCTTTGTTCCCCATCCATGAAAAATGGATCACTGTAGACTCCGGAGCTTCCGTGCCAGTTATTCCCAAAGATTGCGCCACTGCTTACCGCATGGCCCCAAACCAGGAGTCCAGGTCAGGAGTGTGCTACACTGTTGCCAACGGTGAGGTCGTACCTGACCTAGGAGAGAGATCGCCAAGCATCATCACAGAAAACGGTTTGATAAAGAAAGTACAATTTCACGTTGCAGACGTTGACAAGCCTTTGTTGGCAGTATCCTCAATCCAACGGAAAGGATACAAAGTTGTGTTTGACGATGAGAGTTACATTCAAAACAAATACAATCCATCAGAGATCATCCCACTGGTCGAAGAAAACGGCACTTACAAAATGAAAGCTTGGGTCGTACCGCCATCACTCGAAGAAATGGCGGATGCACCGTCTCTTGCCCCGGCTGAGGCGGATGGGCCGGACCAGCCAGTTTTCCACAGGCAGGGTCTGAGCCCGTAAGGCCTCAGGGTGAGAATGTTTCACCTGAAGGGCCACCCAGTGTGCCCCAAGCAGTTTTGGCCCAAAACCTTTACTTCCCGTTAGCTGATGACGGCGATGCCGGTGTAGACGTCTCGGAAGACCTCTCTGCACCTGTTCTCAAGGCTCCGGCGCAACCGACCCAAAAAGAGATTGATGAGCACAACGCCACGCATCTACCCTATAGGAATTGGTGTCGGCACTGCGTCCGGGGAAAAGGTAAGAGTTTGTTTCACCGAGCACGTGGTTTTGAAAAGGATCACGAAATCCCCACTGTTTCAATGGATTACTTCTTTTTGGGAATGCCAGACGATGAGAGCACAATGCCAAATATTTGTTTACGGTGTCACGGAACGAAAGCCACTTTTTCACACACGGTTCCGTGCAAAGGCGCAACGCACCCGTATCCAATAAAACAGGTTGTGCATGATCTCGATTTGTTAGGGTATAAGAAAGTAATTCTGAAATGCGATCAAGAGGCTTCAATTCTGGCTCTTCGCCGCGAGGTCAAGGCAGCAGCAAACCTCGACGTGGTGATTCCAGAGGAAAGCCCAGTTGGAGAGCACCAATCGAACGGAACGATTGAAAAAGCAGTCCAAGAGCGTGAAGGACAAATCCGTGTCCTGAAAGACCATCTTGAAGAGAATTACAAAACGGAACTCGACAATCGCCATCCCATTCTCCCATGGTTGATAAACCACGCAGGGTTCTTGATCACGAGGTTCCAAGTAGGACACGACGGCCGCACAGCGTACCAGGCACTCAAAGGCAAACCCTTCCGCAGGGATTTGATTCCGTTTGGAGAATGCGTTCATTACAAACCGGCTAGGATGAAAAACGGCAGGCTTGCAAAATTAGCGCCGCGATGGGCAGACGGCATTTTCATAGGCATCAAAGAATCAAGCAACGAAGCGTACATTGGAACGTCCGACGGTGTTGTCACAGCGAGGTCAATCATGAGAAAACCTCCAGCTGAGCAGTGGCACCTTGATCACCTGATGGCGTTCCGGGGCCTCCCCTGGAAGCCAGTGCCAGAAGGCGAAGTAAACCAAGATGTGATGCCGAGAGCTGTAGTGATCAAGCCGGTGATGGAGGAAAACCTCCCACCGCATGCACCGCCGCAGGAGGACCAGTCAATCATCCATCGTCGCGTGTACATTTTGCAGAAGGATTTGCAGAAATACGGTTTTACTCCTACTTGTCCCGGTTGCCAGGCGCAGGCTTCAGGCTCTGCGCCAGTAGCGCACGACGAAACATGTCGCAAACGAATCGTTAAAGAGTTGGAGAAAACAGCTGAGGGGAGAGAACGAATCCGTAAAGCGGCACAGCGGCTATCCAATCAGGAACCGCTTCCTGCCAAGAGGCCGAAAACGGAACACATAGAAGTACATGAACAAAGGGATAAACGACCTCTGGGGGAAAATCCCCAAGTCGAGGCAAAGGCCAGTAAACCGAACCCTGCGGACAAACGACCTCTTGGGGAAGATCCCCAAGTCGGCGCCAAAGTAAGTAAACCAAACCCAACAGAAAAGCGAAAAAACGACGTTCTTGAGGAACCAATGGATACAGGTGGATCCTCTTCGTCCGGCTTTGCACAGCAACCGGCAAACCAAGAGCCCAATGACGCGCCAATGCCTGAGCCGGGGGACCCGGCAATCAGAGCGTTTTCAAAAGCATCCAAACATGAGTTGTGTAGTGTCGCACAATGTTACAAGAATTTTGGATTAGCTTCTACGGGCAATTTTAGAGAAGTGTTTAAGGCTCCGCGTGCATGTGCTCTTGCATGTAATTTTGGTTTAAATGCAGGTTTTGTGTCAGACTTTAGTGTTCAATGTGAAAATAACAGAACGTGTGATTTCAGTGTTGCTCACGATTTGAGAACAGCTCATGCCGCCGTCCAGGAAAAAATGCCGATGCTGTTGATCGCGTCGTCTGCCGGCAGTGGCCGGAACCTTAAGAGCATGTGCGATCACGTTTCTGGTTGTGTTGATTTGTACACAAGGCAGAGAGATAGTGGCAGGTATTTCTTGGACGTGCAACCGGATTGCGCAGCTTCGGCAAAGCATCCGGCAATGCAGTCGTTGTTGCAATGTGAGACTTCACACACAATTCCAAGCCAAACGCGCACACATGCACATGTGAATAGGCAGTTTTGTTTTGTCACGAACAGCCCGTATTTGGCGTCTGAGTTGAAAGCGGAGTTGACTAGGTCAAGTGAGTTTTCGTTAATTTTTCGCGAACGTTTACAGCTAGATCGAAAAATGCACATTTCTGCACTGTTGTCTCCGAGGCTCCACGCAACCGTTTTGAGAGGGTTGCATGAGCAGTTGAAGGCAGACGGGAAAGCCGACCCGTTCTCAATAGGGACCGTTTGTTGTGAAGAACCACATTTTGATTTCGATGAATGGAGTTCCGAGCAGGAAGTATTCGATGACAGCACAGGTGCTAAATTGCCCCCGCAATTAGTGCAAGAAGCAATGTTGAAAGAGATCAACGAATACAAAAAGCATCAGGTCTACGTCAAAGTTCCCAGGTCGGAGGCATTTGAGGTGACAGGAAAACCTCCCATTTCGGTCCGGTGGGTGATCGTAAACAAAGGTGACGATCAGAACCCAGAGATCCGAGCACGATTAGTTGCAAGAGAGGTAAAACGAGACAAACGTACCGATTTGTTCGCGGCAACACCGCCACTTGAGGCAAAGAAGTTTCTTTTCAGCCACGTTGCAACCCAGAAGGTCCACAAATCAGGAAAACCGTTGAAGATAAGGTTCATCGATGCTGTCCGTGCGCATTTCCACGCTGATGCTATACGAGATGTTTACATCGAGCTTCCAGAGCAAGATGCCGAACCCGGCATGGTAGGCAAATTGGCCAGGTGCATGTACGGCACCAGAGATGCAGCGCAAGGCTGGGAACGATTTTACACGAAAGTTTTAACACAGGCGGGATTCGTTCAAGGTCGGTCGAGCCCGTGCATTTTCTACGAGCCCACGCGGGACGTGAGATTAGTAGTGCACGGAGATGATTTCACAGCGTCGTCTGACGATAATGGCCTTGAATGGCTCACTGGCGTGTTGGAGTCAGCACTTGCCCTTAAAGTGCGAGCAACACTAGGACCCGAAGACGGTGACGACAAAAGTGTCCGGATTCTTAACCGGATCGTGTCTTGGACCGCAGCCGGTCTGGAGTACGAGTGTGACCAAAGACATGTTGAATTTATCGTTAGAGACAGTGGCATCCAGGATGAGCGCTCGAAGGCGTGCTCCACTCCTGGTGTGAAAGAGTCACTTGATTCAGAAACCGATCTAAATTTACTCGTCTCCAGACATGGTTACGAAGTTCCGATCTCTGTGCATGCGTATCAACTACATTGCACAAGACCGTAGCGACATTCAATACGCAGCAAAGGAGTTGGCACGAGGGATGCAACAACCAACAGTAGGACATTGGAACAAGATGAAAAGATTCGCACGCTATCTAAAAAGGCGTCCACGTTTAGTGCTAGAATATCCGTTTCAAGAGTCTTGTTCTTTCTTTGATGTGCTTGTTGACACAGACCACGCAGGTTGTTTGAGAACCAGAAAAAGCACCAACGGAGGCGCATTGATGTTTGGTCTACACGCAATCAAAACTTGGAGCAGCACTCAAAGCGTCATCGCACTGAGCTCCGGAGAAGCAGAGTTTTACGGAATAGTAAAAGGCGCAAGCGTGTTGTTAGGAGTTTTGTCTTTAGCATCTGATTTTGGTCTTGTTGTGAAAGGGCGTCTGAGCACAGACAGCTCAGCAGGCAAAGGAATAGCATCCAGACTAGGATTGGGTAAAGTGAAACACCTTCACACCCAGTACTTGTGGGTTCAAGAAAGACTCGCAAACAATGATTTCGTCATCCGAAAAATCGGCACTGACGAGAACCCCGGAGATCTCATGACGAAGTACTTGGACAGACCAAAGTTAGACAAATTCTGCAAGAAGCTCGGCTACGCCGCACGAGGCGGAAGACACGAACTAGCACCGCAAATTTCGAATCAACATCTTGATTTGACTCTGTTGGAAGAACAGGAATGGCTTGAGCCAGGCTCGGCAGCACCAGCTAGAGAAAAGAGCAAAACGATGTTCTTTGACATCAGCGGCAATGGGCCCAAGTTGGTTCAACCGCAAAGCTCCGTGAATCCCCGCTCCACTACCGAAAGCTTCGTAGAGACACCGTGCGCGAGGAACCGCTCGCCCTAGGTGTAGGAGGAGTGTGGGAATTTATACCCCCAGCGCAGCATGTAGAGAGGCAGAGTAGAGGGAAGTTGAACTGCAGCCATTTCAGGTTTCATTTAGAGCCCTATGAAAAGGCATCAGATCGTATACATTCCTTTCAATGTTCGTATGCATGTCTGTATGCATGCATGTGTTCATGCATGCATGCACGCATGCATGCACGTGCATGTATGTCTGTATGTCTAGATGCAAATAAGTGTGTATGTGTACATATAAACATACCCACATACCACGAACACGGGGGAGCCCGCCTGGGGGCCAGGGGCCGGGACCCCGACCGCAAAATGATGTCCCGGGGGCCCAGCGCGTTCTTGGGGGGTCACAAATCAGCCCCCAGAGCCTTCAGACCGCCGCCAAGGCGGCTCAGGAGGGCCCCGAGTCTCCCCCAAGACGGCTTCCAGAGGTCCCAGACGGCTCAAGAGAGCTCCCAGACGCCTCAAGAGACGCTCAAGACAGCCCCAGACGGCCCCAGGAGACCTTCCGAGCCTCCGAGAAGCCAAACACTTTGAAACAACATAAGGGCAATCTATGACTTTTGCATTCTCACGGTTTCGCCTCCGGTGGGCTGCTGAGGCCTCAAGATCGCCCCCAAGAAGCTTCAAGAGGCTCCCAAGAGGCCCCAAGATGCCCCCCAAAGCCGCCCAATAATCTCCAAGAAGCCCCAAGAAGCCCCAAGAGGCCCCCACGAGGTCCCCAGAGGCCTCCAAGACGCCCCTAAGAGGCCCCCCAAAAGTCATCGCGAGGCCCCCTCACGAGACCGCAAAAGGCCCCCACTAGGCCCCCCAAAGCATCCAAGAGGCCCCAGGGGACCTCAAGGGGGCCCACCAGGCCCTTCCAAGCCCCCAAGATGCGCCCGAAGACCCCCGAAGGCCACCAGAGAGCCCCAGAGAGGCGGCTTCCGAGAGACCGCTCGGAAGCGACCGACCAGTCTTCTCGACCCCTGTAGGTTGTCATTCGGCGGCGAGCGAGGGAGGGAAGTGAGAAGGGTCGGGCCTTCTCAGAAGTCTCAGAAGCCTCGGCAGTCCCGTGGCCTTCTGAGAAGCTTCCGGAGCCTTCCCCCCGAAGACAGACAACCAAAACTTCTCAGAAGGCGCAGGAGGGTTTCTGAGAAGCCCCGCCGCCTTCTGAGAAGGCCCTCTCCTTCTCCCCAGACCCCCGACGTAATGATTTTTTCATTACGTCGACCCCCAAAGGTCCCGACCCTTTCCCCATGACCGGCTTTGCATCCTGAGTGGTTTTTTGACGCTCCCGAGGCCCGGTGAGGGCCCCCGGAGGCTGAAAATGAAGGAAAACCTTCCGTCATGATTTTTTCATTCCTCGAGGGGGTCTGGGTCACCTCCCCCCCCTCGCCCGCCGCCCCGTCGCTCCACGGGGGCCTCCACTCTGCGCCGCCCTGGGGCCTCTTCTTCTCCCGAGGCCCGGGGCGCCCGGGAGGGCCGCAGGCCGCTCCCGGCAGGGCCGCGGAGCGCTCCGGGGCCGCCCGCGGGAGGGCTTCCGGGCAGCCCCCCGGGGGGCCTCCGAGGACGCCTCCTCCTCCTCCCTCCTCCTCCTCCTCCTCCTCCTCCTCCCCCCTCCTCCTCCTCCCCCTCCTCCTCCTCCTCCCTCCTCCTCCTTCCTCCTCCTCCTCCTCCTCCTCCTCCTCCTCCTCCTCCTCCTCCTCCTCCTCTCCTTCCTCCTCCTCCTCCTCCTCCCTCCTCCTCCTCCTCGTCCTCCCCCTCCTCCTCCGTGCGCTCTCCGAGGGCCCCCCCCCCAGGGGGACCCGAGAGGAACAGACCACTGATTTCGTGTACACACTGTTCTTCTTCTTTCATGCTTCGAAGGTTCTTTGATTTTTTGGGGGCCACGAGCCTTTCGTTTCTAATTGTGGTATCCTGGGCCTCTTCCTGGCCACTCTATGGGGCCAGGAACGATGAGGAACGAGCACAATCAGAAAGGAGCACGATCAGAAATGAACGACATGCAGGTCTGTGTGGGTGCGCGAGTTTCGCAGTCTCGCCTCGTCGGCCCGCTGACCTTCCGAGACGCTCCAGGATGGTCCGAGGTCTGCCCAGGGCCGGCTCGGAGGTGCCCCATGGGGCCCGCGAGCCGGTCCCTCGAGGGCTGTTTTTTTCCGAGGCCAGCGCCACAGCGAAGGGTCCCCACTGCGTGGCTGCAGACGTGGAGTGGCATTGCTCTGTTAGGGGACGCGCGCGTGGGGGCGAGCAGAGTCAATACTGTATTTAGCGACCCTGGCCGTCGAGGCGGCGAACAACTGTCCCCGGTGTGCTCGGCCAGGACGTCTTAGAGTGCCTGAGCAGGGCAGTGCCAGTCATGCCCCCAAAAGGTGCCTGCCCTGAGGGCCTCCCGCCTGCTCGTAGGGCGCACTCCGAGAGTGCCAGGACCCACTGCTTGGGGTCCAGGCAGGCACGCCGAGTTGGCCGTTCACGGCCGAATTGTTTCATAGTAATCTGTTTTCGCAACGCCGGATCTTCCCGCTAGACAGGCGTAACCAAAGTAGGCAGCCCGGACACCATTCCAGCTTCGAGCAGCGAGCCTGCTTGCAGCGCAGCACCAATGCCAGTCTCTGGTGTAGCTGCTCATCTTGGCAGCGCGCAGCAGGAAGCAGGGCGAGCGGGGCGGCTTCAAGAGGGCACCACGCCTCTCAGAAGCCCCCCCGCCTTCCGGGAAGCCCTCTCGGCGGCTCCCAGGAGGGCGCGGCGCCCTTCCCAAACGGTCGCCCCCCCCGCGCCTCGCTCCCCTGCCCGCGCCGCCGAGCCGCCCTGCTTCGTCGACAGCCGCTCCTCCTGGCAGCCCCCCCCCGCTTCTCGCCCTGCCGGCCGCGCGCTGGCCCGATCGGCGCTGGGCCGTTGGCCCGCTGACTCACGGGAGACCCCCGCGACCGCGAGGGCGCCTTCGCGAGAGAACTAAAATTATCCCAGTGCGACCCTACCTAGGAGGTGGAGGATCTAGGAAAGCAACATCTATATGAAGCTAAGTTAATATAAGATGAAGCTAAGCTAAGATGAAATAAGCTAAGCTAAGATGAGATAAGCAACGCTAAGCTAAGGGAGCGTCACTGGGGGAACCTCGGGGCGGATACTGGGGGAACCGCCCGGGGCGAGTTGCACTGCCCGGCCCGAGTAAGACTAGGCAGAGCCTGGGTAGGCAATTAAGTCGGGCGTGTCCCTCTACAGGAGGAATATTCAAACGTGTTTTTTTTGAAGAAGCTGTCTGCGAATGACGTTTGTCGACCATGTTTTCCATTCTGGAGTTTTTGGTTAATTTATTCCCAACCATCCTGTGGTGTTGGGTCCTCGTTTTGAAGAGACAGCGCCCCGCGTTCACTCCTCCTCCCGCTGCCCCCCTCCCTCCTGCCACCGCCCGCATGCGTCAGCCACACCCACTACGGCACACCCTTCACACGTTTCGTGGCCCCATAGGGAGCTCCACCGAAGGCCCCAGTGGCTGCGCTCCCATGCGCCCACCGCACCCATTTCGGCACACCCCTCACACGCTTCGTGGCCCCATAGGGAGCTCCAGCGAAGGCCCCAGTGGCTGCGCTCCCATGCGCCCACCGCACCCATTTCGGCACACCCCTCACACGTTTCGTGGCCCCATAGGGAGCTCCAGCGAAGGCCCCAGTGGCTGCGCTCCCATGCGCCCACCGCACCCATTTCGGCACACCCCTCACACGTTTCGTGGCCCCATAGGGAGCTCCACCGAAGGCCCCAGTGGCTGCGCTCCCATGCGCCCACCGCACCCATTTCTGCACACCCCTCACACGTTTCGTGGCCCCATAGGGAGCTCCAGCGAAGGCCCCAGTGGCTGCGCTCCCATGCGCCCACCGCACCCATTTCGGCACACCCCTCACACGTTTCGTGGCCCCATAGGGAGCTCCAGCGAAGGCCCCAGTGGCTGCGCTCCCATGCGCCCACCGCACCCATTTCGGCACACCCCTCACACGTTTCGTGGCCCCATAGGGAGCTCCACCGAAGGCCCCAGTGGCTGCGCTCCCATGCGCCCGCCGCACCCATTTCGGCACACCCCTCACACGTTTCGTGGCCCCATAGGGAGCTCCAGCGAAGGCCCCAGTGGCTGCGTTCCCATGCGCCCACCGCGCAGATTTCGGCACACCCCTCACACGTTTCGTGGCCCCATAGGGAGCTCCACCGAAGGCCCCAGTGGCTGCGCTCCCATGCGCCCACCGCACCCATTTCTGCACACCCCTCACACCCATAGGGAGCTCTGCGCTCCCATGCGCCCACCGCCCATTTCGGCACACCCATCACACGTTTCGTGGTCCCATGGGGAGCTCCAGCGAAGGCCCCAGTGGCTGCGCTCCCATGCGCCCACCGCACCCATTTCGGCACACCCCTCACACGTTTCGTGGCCCCATAGGGAGCTCCAGCGAAGGCCCCAGTGGCTGCGCTCCCATGCGCCCACCGCACCCATTTCGGCACACCCCTCACACGTTTCGTGGCCCCATAGGGAGCTCCACCGAAGGCCCCAGTGGCTGCGCTCCCATGCGCCCGCCGCACCCATTTCTGCACACCCCTCACACGTTTCGTGGCCCCATAAGGAGCTCCAGCGAAGGCCCCAGTGGCTGCGCTCCCATGCGCCCACCGCACCCATTTCGGCACACCCATCACACGCTTCGTGGCCCCATAGAGAGCTGCACCGAAGGCCCCAGTGGCGGCGCTCACATGCGTCCCCGCCACACATCCCAATACACCCCTCACGCGCTTCGTGGCCCCATAGGGAGCTCCACCGAAGGCCCCAGTAGCGGCGCTTACATGCGTCTCCGCCACCCATCCCGGCCCCCCCCCCCCGCAGCAGCATCATGTTTCGGGGACCCATAGGGAGCTCCACTGGAGGCCCCAGTGGCGGCCCGCACATGCGTTTCCGCCACCCATGTCGGCACGCCCCGCGCGTGTTTCATGTCCCCATAGGGAGCTTCGCCGAATGCCCCAGTGGCACCCATCTCGGCACACCCCTCACACGTTCCGTAATCCTATGGGGAGTTCCATTGAAGATGAAACCCGCAGCTGCGGTATTGACAACTGCATATGGTTGGGTTCTTCGCCAGGCTAATTTTTTTCGTCCAAAAGCCGCCTGTAGGAGGACATAGCCGACCTACAACTAAAACATATGGCTTCACGACAGCCCTGGGGGCATCCAGGTCGCCTCCAGGCGCTCCCAGAGGGTACCCAAGAGGGCTCCGAGAGAGAGAGAGAGAGAGAAAGACGTGGATGATACTTTTCAATAATACGCTTGTCGCGGGCTGTTTCGATCCCCTGACGTGCCACGACGGGCCAAGGGGGGCCCCAGTGTTGCGCCAAGGTTGCCCCAAGAGGTTACCACGACGGGCCGAAGTGGCCTTCAACACTTCGAGAACGAGCCGACGGCGCCCTCGACGACGACGAAGCGAAGGAAGGAGCGACCGAGCAAGCGACGTATGGCGATGGCGGTAGGCTTGTGTCTTGTGTGGACCTCCTTGGCGGCATCTTGCAGGGTTCGGGCAGTCTTGGCCCGTTTCGGGGCATGCTGGGCCAGTTCTGGGGCGATGCTAAGGCATGTTGGTGCGCGTCGTCATCGTCCTCCTCCTCCCCCATCCGGCACGCCATCTGGGTTTGAAGTGTACAGCGCAGGTATTTTCCGCAAGAGCCTCCCATGCACCGTGTATAGCCTTGCCAAGCCTTGAGAAGTGCGTCTGGAAGCGCAGAAATAACCCCGACTGCGAGTTGTTGTTGTACAGGGATGTCCCTGCTACATCTTCACCACAACATTGCCCCACATTTGACGAGTGGTCTTCGCTGCGCAACTATGCAGACGACGGTGGCGACCCTACCGTAGATGTCGTGTATGAGAAAACGACTGCGTCCCCGACGACGAGAACGAGGCTACACGGGGCCTCCATTCCCAGTGAGCGTCTCGACTTTGCAAAGCCAGTCGAGCGCATTCTTACAGCCACTCTTTATGGAGGGCGCAGGGGTAGCTGGGGCCTGGCCCCCCAGGGCGGGGACCCCTCCCGGATGTCCTCCCTCTTATGGCCATCAGTTTCTTGATCCCCTCCAGGGCCTCTGGGTCCTCCCCCCGGCCGCTCAACATAGCTTCGGAGAGTCCCCTGGGGGGCCGCCAGGAAGCCAGAAAAGGGTACGAGCCAGCGACAAGAATGGCACAACATCAGCTCGAGAATGTCCAAGACGGCTCAAGACGCCCCCCCCAGACGGACCCAAGGGGTCCGAAGAGGACCATTCAGAGGCCCCCAGGGAGCGAACGAGCATCATGTATGTCCTTTTTTAATGTGATTGTCTAATTCTTGCCTTCCTGGTCGTCAGGGCGCCCAGGACGGGCCACAAAGCCTGCAATGTGGGAATCTGGGCCCCTGGATGGTCCAAACCGCTCTCCAAAAGACCCCAAGACAAGCCCGCGCAGATCCAGGAGAGCCCCAGGAGAGCCCCAAGACGCCCCACGGAGCCTGCAGAGGGGCGAGAAC